GATCCGTTACACTGGGATGGATAATCTAGGTGTTTTAGCCGGTGCTTTGCCTTTACCGGCGGTAGCACTATCGTCCTTCCAGGGGCGTTTGTGAGGGGTTTCCTCGTGGTCTGAGCCTTTTGACTCTTCCGAGTCTGACAGATGTACAATAGGAGCTCTGGAAGTGGATTTTGACTGGTCGTGGAAAGCTGCTAAGGCTTTTGGAATGGAGTCTGCAATGGCGTTATACAGCCAAGCTTTTAGCTCTGCATGGACTGCTGGTTCAGGTAAATCTGACATAATAGCGGTAAAGTGGGGTCACCACAGTAATATATAAAATATATATTTTTTTTATTTATTTTTTTTATAATAATTCAATAGGCGGTGGCTTTTTAGGGCAAAGTAACGCAAAGCGTTGTATCAAGAGTGGTGTCAGTCACCAATTGATCGTGGGGTCACCCACAAACAAAATGCGGTAGAAAGAGTAATGAGGGGGTCACCCTCAGGAGACAGTGAGGCAATATAAATATACTTTTTTTTTGGGTTTAATGTAACTTACCTGAATAAGCAGTAGAAGGCGCTGGAGAGCCGTGGAGAACACCGAGCTGCAACAGACGTTCCGGAATGGCGGAGATGAAGCCCGGGAAAAAGTCTGCGCAATACAGGGGCGATAGTGACGATAGGGGGGACGATCGCGGCAATGCAGGCGGTCATACCGCCTGCGGATGGCAGCCGGCCAGAAGCCACGATCAGGTTACTGACGCGGCTCTGCCAATAATCCTGATTGTACGTTGGTGTATAGATGGGTGCAGACGGTTTCGTTTATTTTAAAGAAACAGTGGCAAAACAGTAGTTGTGGCTTAGAGGAGGGAAAAACGTCCTGCAATTTATTGATATAAAGGATAAGGTAACTATTAAGTATTATAGGTATGTGAATGGTAGTTTAGAAGTAAAATTTACACCATGTTAATATATATATTTATAAACTGATTACAAGCTGTTAGACTCACCTTGGAGGCTAAGTAGCAAAGAAAGAGGAGCTGGGAGGAGCCTGATGACTGGACATACTCTATTGTACACTCTGATTGGTTAAATTTTTTACTTACTGTTAATTATTTCTTTGCTGCTGGGAGTTACAGTAAAGAAAGCAAAGCAAATATGAAGCCTCCTGTCTTGCCATAAAATTATGGTTAACCTGCATTTATATATAATATTTCAGAACATTAGAAACATGTGGTGTGGCTGGTTGAAGCTACCCCATCCACTTCTAGGAAGGCGTTAAAACTACGCTGGATAAGATGGAAGCACGTGGTTCAAAAATACCACTGTGACGTCATGTAAATTATAACCTTTGAAGCAGCACTGTGCTATTACAGGTTTCTTTTATAGACTGTACCCGTGATTCAATTATAATTTTAAACTAGGCTTTACAAGTGAGTGGCTGTGGTATGAAACTGCGGTCATATTTTGAGGCACGCCAAAAGATCAACATAGAAGTGGTTTCAATTGTCAACAGAAATCTGCATGATATGAGTAAGACCATGTTTTTTGTACTTTACAAGTGTATAAATATTGCAGGATGCTGATTGCTTGCACTTTGCTCTGTGAATATAAATTGCTGGTCTAAAAGTTGCACATACTTCATAGGTACATATGGAACACATTTATTTTATACTGACAGCAATTGATCTACACATAGGGTCATCCCATAAGGGGTCTAGGTGGGTTTATGGGACCCTGGCAGCACTTTTAGGCGGGATGCACTTTAGGCATTAAAGTCACAAAACAATGTCAGCTTTATGAAGCAGCTTTGGTGTATAGTTCATGTCCCTGCAGTCTCACTGCTCAATTCTCTGTCATTTAGGAGTTAAAACACTTTGTTTATGTAGCCTTAGTCACTACTCCCTCCAATAAAGTGCACAGCCTTCCTAAACACTTCCTACTAATGAGATCTAATGTTTACACCTCCTTTAGTGCAAATTCTGTTTTATTTAGAATTTCATATCTGCACTGTTAATAGCTTGCTAAACCTTGCAGGAGCCTGCTCTATGTAATTAACGTTCAATTTACAAAGCAGGAGATAAAAACTTCTAAACTAAGTTAATATATGATTATAAAGGAAAAAACATTCTTGCAGGCTGTGTAACAACCAGGGGAGGTGTGGCTAAGGCTGCATAATCATAAAAGTGATTTAACTCTTAAATGGCAGAGAATTGAGCAGTGAGACTTCAGAGACATGATCTATACACAAAAACTGTTTTATTAAATTAAAGTTGTTTTGGTGACTACAGTGTCCCTTTAAGGGGGATTTCCCTCCAAGAAATAACAGTGTCTGTGCGGATGTATGTCTGTATGAATCTGGGATTGTCTCTTAATATGTGTGTAGCTAACTACCCTGTGAGTAGTTAGCTATGTGTAAGTGTGTATAATTATATATGTTTATGTTTGCTTGACGAATTAATTATATGTGAGATGTTGGGGTCTCTGTGGGGCAGCATTTTATTCTTGGACCCAAGCAGCAATATGTCTTGTTAAAAGTTGGCTTAGCATACATGAGAATCGTGGTCCACTTGCAACTGCAATGCTAAACATCATTGCCCCTTTGCATACCAGCTGCAGAGCATTTTACTGTATATATCCAGATTAATTTACTGAAAAGGCAGAAAAGAGAGATTGTGGTTGTAGAACCGTAATCTTTTCTCTAACGCACTGATCCGTCCTCAGTGCATCCTCAGTTTGTATATTACCCGCTTCTTATTGTCTGAACACGGAAATCATAATTTGGAGGAGATAAACACGTTTTGCTTCATTACTAATTTCATTATTTATTGTTTTGTTCTTCATTACAGCAGAACTGCAGAGACGTGAACACAGTAAAACAACTTTTACATTTACACACTGAACGGAAATGCTCAACTTTAACAGACCTGGCTTGTTTTAAGTGTTGGGACTAATGAATGGGATAAATAACTGTACAATACACTGATGTGTTAAGGTTGCTGGGCAGGCAGTGACTGATACATAGCTGGATAAGCAATTAAGTGACCTAAGGTACAGGACTCAAGGGTTAGACTAAGGCCTTGTCACCATATAAGGAACACTCCAGGCACCATAACCATAGCTTGCTGCAGTGTTTACAGTACCAGGATTGCCCTGGTGTCATTCCATGCTGTCACCTAATGAGCTAAGCCTGCATAAAAAAACAAAACAAAAAAAAAACAGTTTTATTTTCAATCAGATATTAACTTCAATAGTTTTTATCTCCTGCTCTGTAAATTGAGCTTTAGTCACTCACAGCAAGCTATTAGCATAGCAGGAGATAAGAAATTCTAAATTAAACAATAAAAGAGGTGTAAACATTAGATGACTCTGTACAGTAAGTGTGTAGGAAGGCTGTGTAAATCACATGCAAGGAGGTGTGACTAGTGCAGCATAAACAAAACAGGTTAAAGGGACTCTCCAGGCAGCCCTTTTTACTCACCTGGTTCCAGCGCCGGGATCCTTGTGAAGCCGTGCCCCCTATTTTGTCAAAATGACGAAATAGGCGGGCGCGAGCAGGGAGCAATCAGACGCTTCCATTTGGAAGCGTCATTGCTCCCTTGTGTGCATGCGCAGCTTCGCCGCACATACGCACATACTTCATAGGGTGGCATTCATGCCGCCCTATGAAGTCCTGAGCGCACTACCGCGCATGCGCGCATGGTGTGCGCGTCCACAAGCTGAGCTGACTGACAGCTCAGCTCACGGTCTTTGCCCGCCCCTTCTCCTCTGCTGACAGGCAGGAGAGAGAAGGCGCGCACACAGTGCCTTCTCTCTCCTGCACACGTCAGATGTATTTTAATACGTCTGACGTGTAAAAGGCCTTTTTAGGGCCATCCATGATAGGAAGTCCCTCTGGTGGCCGTCTGAGTGACGGCCACTGGAGGTATTCCTATCAATCAATGTAAACACTGTATTTTCTCTGAAAATACAGTGTTTACATTAGATTGCCTGCAGGGAGCTATAGATCTCACCTGAACAACTACATTAAGCTGTAGTTGTTCAGGTGACTATAGTGTCCCTTTAACTCCTAAATTGGCATAGAACTGAGCAGTGAGACTAAGGGACATTATCTATACACCAACACTGCTTAATTACGCTACAGTTGTTTTGGTGACTATAGTGTCCCTTTAAGATGAATACAACAAAGGGGAAAGAGAGAGAGACTGGTAGAGTATTAGTGGGACAAAGACGGAAAGTTGGGCAAGAGAGACAAGGATTTAAAAAAAAAAAGAGGCTGGGTGATAGAAAGAAGAGAAAGATCTGGAGAGGGAGAACTAGCGAGATGAAAAAAAGGATATCAGACAGAAGGAAGATGTGGGACATTCAAGGGGGTGTTAACATGGACTTTTGCCTAGGGTGCTAAACATTCTTGCGACAAGCTTGCACCAATTACTAACTCCAATGCTAGCAGCTCCTACTCTAAACTGAGAATTTCTGCTGTTATCTACAATTGTATACCTCTTTTATTTTTCCTGGTTTCATTGTGATTGAACTGCCTTACATTTTGTGATGCTGTTACTATGCCTGTGATGTAATTTGTATAGAATTGTCATTGGCTCTTTATCTTCCAACCATCTCCCATGTTTTACCTTTTATACCATCTAACCACAAATCAGGTATAAAAACAAAATAATACAAGTTTTGGAGTACATTAAATGAAGACAATCTGAACTATCTTATTTAAATATTAACAATATTGAGTTAAGAATATAGCAATGTGAGCAGGAGTTTTCCCCTTGCAGAATGCCTCAGATACTATATAAGTGGGTGTATTTTTAGAACTGTACCACTGTCCTGTTGTTGCAAAACACAGCCACAGAAATTACAGAAACTATGCATAGTCCAAATATGATGAATCTAACAAGTATGCAGTAATCCTTCAGCAATTCAGCACAGCATGAGTTAAACTATTTCCATGCTGAGAATGTACTCAGCCACAAGCCCAGAACTGTCTGTATAGGACCCTTCAGTAAAGCCAAGTTAATTAACAGAGTCTGCCCCTCTCCAATGATTGCTCCTCCCCTCCTTGCCCTAGCCAAGCAGTGCCTAAAACATCCACCCCTCCCTTTCAAGAAGCCCATTACCTGCTTCCACCCTCCAGTGAACATCCATTCAAGAGCAGCATCCTTTCAAAACACCCCAGAATTTGTTTTCTTTTTTTGTATGGTTGGCTAAATGCACTCCCCTCCCACATTCCCCAAATATAATCCTTGAAGGGTAGCACAAAGGCTACATGTTTACAGATTCACCGTTAATGAATTGATGGTCATCAAACATCCCACCTTCCCTCCCATTGAAGAAAGTCACACATTTTGACAAGCCAAGAAGGGGGTCGTTTGGAAGCTGGTCTTAGGAGGGGCTGAAGAGCTGTCACAGGTGGAGATGCTGCTGTGGCTGCTGCACCCAAATTTCCTGCAGAAGGGTGGTGTCTAAAGGGTTCAGCTGTCCTTGCTCCTGTGCCTGTAACACTGAAGTCTGTAGTCGCTGGCAGACAAGGAGAGAGGAGACTGCTGCTGTTGAACTGCAGGCGATGCTGGTTTAGACTCTTCGTGTAAAGGAAGAATATACAATGTGACAAGGACAGGAGACAGGAGAAGATAGACTCAGACAGCGCCCTGATCTCAGTGTAAGTCGATACAAGAATAATGCCCTATACATGCCTTGTATGAGCCTGATGACCCTACTTCCAGGCTAGATCTCATGGAGACACATTGGGGGTATTGATTGCAGTGTTAATTATAAGAGTTTCACATATGCCTTTTGCCTGGGATTTAAAAATCAGTTTGATGTCCAATCCAGGGGAGTTACTATTCTTATAGTGTATTTTACACATTGATCTGAGCTGCTAGGCTTTCTCTGATTGTCATCTGTATTCTTCCTGTTGGTAGTGTACAATTTTAGTATGCTTTGTTTTATTGAATGTTCTTTCTTTTTTTTATAAAGCAGTGACAGCATGATTTATCACCATTCTAGTGCCAGAGGGTATACACACATTGACTTGTCCATCCCTCTTGCACTCTGAGGTTTAATTAGGTTATGCTATTGTCGATTTAGTAAAACAGTGAATGCAAATAAGATTTTATTTTAATAAGTGACTTTTGACTTCAGAAGGGCTTAACAAGGAGCAATCCATAAAATACCCTTAAAAGCGCCTTATTCTGCTCGGTGAGTGGCATTGCAGTCACTGTATCTGTGCTGCTGCTATCTGGCACTTGTAAGTCTGCATTCCAGTTGCCTTAAGGCAGGGGTCATCACCATGTATTAATAAAAACCTGGCAAACACAGCTGGCATACGAGAGCTGGGTGACAAAATGTCAAGTTTGATGGAAGCTCATATTACGCATTCGTAGAATAATTTAGAAATATGGAGATATATTTTACCTTTTGTTATGACAGGAGCATTAGGAATGGTTTCCTAATATGGTGCTTTGGATAAATTTGCTAGGTTGCTGATTATAAACACTACTCCAACCAGATAAACGTTTCCATTTTATATACAGTTGAAGGTTCCAGTCTTAGCTTATGTACTAATATGTGGTGCCTGATATATACATTCTTGCAAAATGTTACTCACCCCTGGCATCAAAATGATTAGGGTTTTTTTGTGTTTGTTTTTTAGGATTATTTATGTTTTTTAGATTGTAAGCTCACTTGGGCAGGACTGTCTTCACCTACTATGTCATACATGTTTTGTTAGAATTGTTTGTCTTGTTTTACCTGTTGTGCAGCGCTGTGGAATATGTTGGCGCTATATAAATAATTGGGATTTTTTGTTGTCCGGTTAGGGACAACCTTGGCTCCACAAACCTCTGTGAAATACATTTCCCATGATGCTCAAACAGCATCATGGGAAATGTGATTCACAAGCATCTGGATTGCCCTCTGTGTAAAGGCTCTGAAAAAAGGCAAAGCAAAACTGGGGGAGATTTTTTAGCTTAGTTTAGAACATCCCCATTTTATCACAACATAATGTATCTTTATTTGGGTATTGTCCAATGGATTGATGAGTTACTTGTATACATCAATGCTAAGTTGTGACAAGCCTCTATAGAGGTAACAAAAATGCTGGTGACAGCAGTAAAATGCCATATTATATAAAAGTTAAATATTTTCCTGTAATACAGAATTTAAAAAAATTACACATGTGGACTTAAGACCTGTAAGAGGTTAAATTTAGCTGAGCCAAGCGATGGCTTGGAGGTCTCTTAGTTGCATGATCTTGTGAATAGGCTAAGATGACACAACAATTCATGTATAGCAGATGTTGTAATGGCTGTGTTTAGTTAGAGAGCCTGACTATGACAGAATAGTAAGCAATGGATTCAGATATTGGCAGAGAGCAATCCAATCTGCATGCTTCGCTAACTGCCAGTCCTCTGTGTAATAGCTCTAACATTTTGCTGATAACTGCTTAACAAACTGCACACCATTTTCTTTTTGTAGTTTTTTTTTTTTTTTTTTAACATTCAGATGTATATCTCAAGCTGATAAATGTAGGGACTGCATTTTTTCTTTTATTTATTTTTTTAGCTTTGAACATTGCTCGGTGCTTATGTTGCATGGTGACATACTGCAGTATGGAGAGAGGGGGACAATTCTGGTTTGCTGATTGAAGGAATGAAAATAGGGGGGGATACTGCAATGCGTTTTGTGGAGCTGTTTGATACTCAGATCTGTCCTCATTAACCATGTAGCCAGATATTACAACCAGTGTAACAGCTGATACATATGAAGGAGAAAAAAAAAAAAAAAAGAATTCATTGGTCTTATTGATCTTTTTGACCTTTTATAAATTGCTTTGAAAGTGGCATTCTTGTCTTCTCCATGGTATATAAAAACAAATTATATTTGATCTAATTTTATTCTTTGATTATAATGCTCTGTGCATTGCCAGCATTAATCAAGGAATAGGCAGAGATATCTATGTAAACTCATTATTGCAATTTCACGTTTAGCGTAGTTGTATTTATTATTTCTACAATTATGAATCAAATAGGTGTGGGTGCTGTTGATTGTAGCTAGTGGTTAATGACCGCGGTGTCTTTTATTAGCTAGGGATAGGATTGTACCTTCAGAAAAAGGCAGTTTAATTAGTCCTATATTTTTTCTACAGCAATTTCGTTCGGTCATACATTCATTTGTGTGTCTCATTAAACAATGTCTCATTCACCAATAAGTGTAGCTGGCAAATTATAAATGACTAGCCTTTCTTTTTGATGTGGTGAATAGGGAGGAGACGCTTATGAACATTCGTGGGTAAGGACGCACGTTTTCTGCAGACTATGCATCCATTATAGTGATGTGATGGCGGAGATTGTCAAATGTACACTTAAGAGTTGTGTTTGCATATCCTTAGTGTAAGTATTGTAAGAATTTCATTACCAGATTGAGATATATTTTTGCAAGAGACAGCGAGAGCTTATGTGCTGACATTTACATTAAGGAGTTGTGTGTGTATTATTGTGTTGTATGACTTTTTAAGGGTGTTTTGGAATTAGTGAGACTGTGATTATATCTTGAGGTTTTCTGCTGACTAAACCTCTGATTGATCTATTGATCCATCCTCCTGTGAGAATGTCCTTGTAGACCCTTACAGCTTTTGCAATTAAAGCATCCTCATGAAGTATCTGCGTTTTCATGTGTGAATCAGAAAGGCGAATTTGGAAGCCAAACTGACTCTTTTAGAGGCAGTAGAAGATGGGGCATGACAAAGTCAAAAACTTTGTCTCGTGCAGTAACATTTCTTAGCAGTCAAAGCTTCCTGATTGCTGGGGTTTGTAAAACCCAGGCGTAAAGGAAATGTATAATGTATTAGACACTATTATTTACAGCTTTGCTGGCATGGTAATATTCTGGCTGTTAATCCATTGTATCTGAACTTCCTATAATCAGTTTAAGAAACAAAGTAAGTAGTCTAGAAGCACATTTTGATTTCAATCCACCTGTCATTTAAATATTGCTGTGCATGAGCTAGATTGCCTTATATCAAATTCAAATTAAAAAAATATACATTAAAACAATGTAAGGCAGTCCAAATGTGGGGTTGTGGTAGGTGTCCTTCGTAGCTGTTTGACTTGGCAGATGACCCTGATTTATAATTGTAAATAAACATTCCAATCACTATAACTGCTACAGCTTGCACTGTGCCTCCCTCCATTGCAAATAGCCAGACTATTTTGGAATGATTTGACTTCTCACCTGCTGTCCCCCAGTTGCAGCTCCCCATCACCTCTGTTAAAGCCTGCTTAGGAATTTTTATGAGCTCTCATGTGCTTAGCACTACAGTGTAGGCCTTAGCTTATTGGCTGAGAGCGATCAGCTGATATAGTATTCAAAAATAATTTGACCTCTTACAATGAAAGGGCGCCAAGGCAAGCTGTAGAGGTTATGGTTCTTGGAGTGTTTCTTTAAGTCAAAAACGTAATCACTGGTATCTGTTGAAATTGTGGATATGGATCAGGGGCATGGCAAGTAAAATAGATGGGGGATTCTTGTCCCAATTAAAGTGTTCCATGAATAAAGGGATAAATGAGATTTGTGCATGTTTACTGTGATGCATAACATATGATATATTGGTTCCACTAATTCTAAAGAGGTTTGTCATGCACTATTTGAGAGTCCCTTAAAAACATCCAAGTCAGACAGCCAACACATGTATGTATCCTGAGTTCAGATACCATAGTCATTCTACTTCCAGGTAAAGCCACAACTCCTAGACACTGTTTGGCATATGTGTCTTAAAAGTATCTGGCTGGCAAATGTATACATGATAAAAACCAAAATAATGTATCATTGTCTAGGTTTGCTTTTACCAATACAGTTGAACTATACACAGTGATATCATCGATCTTTTTGCACGATGTATTAGGAAAGATGCTTTAAAATTGCCTAACACTAAATGGAGGCACAGTGCCAGAGTGCTCCAGACACTATAACCAGTTCCATGATAATAAAGGGACACTGTAGGCACCCAGACCACTACAGCTCATTGAAGTGATCTGGGTGCAATGTCACTATCTACGGTTAACTCCACCTCTAGTGGCTATCTACCAGACAACCAATAGAAGGATTCCTGGTTTGAAACGGACCTATGGTCCGTTATCTGACGCTGGACGTCCTCACACTCTGCATGCTTGAATAATGCTTTCCTATGGGTAAATCCTATGTGAGCGTGACCATTGCCGCACGTGCGCATTAGGTCTCCCATGCTGATGTCATCTGGTGGGGGAGGAGCGTGGGCAGAGCCTGACCCAGCGCCGAGGGTCATCAACGCTGGATTCAGTTGAGTGACCCCCTTCAGCTCTGCAGCGGGGGGGGAGGGGCATGAGGGAGGGGGGCACTGCAGAATTCTATAGTGCCAGGAAAACGGCTTTGTTTTCCTGGCACTATAGAATCCCTTTAAATATTATAGTACTATAGTATCCCTTTAAATAATACAATATGTATTTACTGAAAACTCGCAAGAATGTAATTGTACTGGTTTCCAATTCCCAAAGGGCATGGGGACTTGGCAACCAATTTTACATGATTGCCTAAGAAAACAGGAAATTGGTACTGTGGTGGCGCAGTTATATTCATTGCTCTCTTTCCTGTATATGGTATTAAAGATAGACTCTGTGACATGAGATAATATTCTTGCATCTTCAGCAAGTTAAGTAGTTCTGTCAGCGGAAACAGTAAGAGCAAACTTGGTCACCTTGGGCCTAGACCTCCTGCTTACTTTTCTAGATCACCAGACATTGTATCTCTAAACTGATCTGTCCACTTCCCATAATATATGTGAAGGGGCTTCTGAAATTGTGAGACACGTGGATTTATAATCTTCTTCCCACAATTTTACACCAAAAATTATGTGACATATGGCATGTGTGGAAATGCAAAGAGTGCTACAAACAAAATGGCACCTACATTTTCTGCTTCATAGCATAATAGCCTTAAACACTTAAAAAATAAAAAATATATTGCAGCAAATTTCTCGCTACCCAGCAAATAACACTACTGAGAACATAGCATTTATTCACATGATTACCTCAGCATTCTATTTGCAATATATGTTTATCCAGTTACTTCCTTAGGAAGACACTACTATAAGTCATGATTTGTATTACAAGTGTAAGAGTGTTATAGCTGATGATAATAATAATGTTAGTAATTTGATCGCCTTATACCTAGATGAATATTGAATATATTATGGTCTATAACCTATAACCCAGAAATGTTTAATGTAAACCAAACAACAGATTAATTTGAGGTTGTTTTTCTGTAAACACTGTGGTGCTTTGTACAGATACCAAAGGATATCCTCCAGGATGTTGTTTAAATTAAACAACATCCTGGAGGGATTCTGTGAATGGGAAATAAGGGCTGACGCATCTGAGCAGATCTGTGACAATAGCATCATATTTACATCCTTCCTGCTAAATGGATCATGCAAGGCTAAGCGTTTCTGGCTTCCCATGTATTGTGAGCCAGATACATAGTATTTGTATTGCTAATGTCTTAGGCTGGCTGAGGATCATGGGAAAAGCACGTCACAAATATTTGTTAGCTCTAGCATAAACAAATCTGCCCTTTGCTTATGAGCTGATAAAATAGGGTTTAAATTTGTTGGTGTTCTCTTTAAGGATTCATTCAATAAATGCTTGAATAGCATGCTGCAGCCTCATCAAGGGTTAGTTTAAAGCATGAGCAAGCAACATGCCACGCAATCTTGTCATTGGGGATCAACATCTCGTGCAGCATCATTCACTCACCTAAAGCTAAAAGTATTTGTTAACCACTAAATGCTTACACAGAAAATATTTGAAAGTAGTCATTATGTTACAGCGCATTATATATGTAAATGTGTGTAACAGTTTAAGGCAGGGGTGCCCAAAAGGTAGATGTTGTAGAACTACAACACCCATGATGTTTTGCATGAGTTTAAAATGACAAAGCATCATGGAAGCTGTGGTTTTATCACATTTTTGTCACCTCTGTTTTAAACCGATAAAGTTATTTAAAGAAACACTATAGCGCTAGGAATACAAACCTGTATTTCTAAAGCTATAGTGTCCCTGTCCCTAGACCTATATATGTCTTTCCCCTCTTGAAAAAAAAATAAAGGAACTATTTGACTTATTCTAGCACCGAGGCTTCCTTGATGCTACTTACCTCTCTGCCTGCCTCCCGCAATGTCACGGAGGAGGCATGGCCTCCTTCACGATGGTCCAATCAAGTGCTCTGTTAGAGACTTAATGCACATGCACAGCGAGCATCGTGCATGCATTCAAGATTCCTCATAGGAAAGTATTGTATTCAGTGCTTTCCGATGGCCTTTTTTTGTTATTTTACTGAGCTCTGCTTGTCAGTTTGACATCCACAAGTGGTAGACTTAAAGGATCACTATAGGGTCAGGAACACAAACATGTATTCCTGACCATATAGTGTTTAATCCACCATTAAGGTGTCTTACCCCCCCTTGGCCTCCCTATAAAAGTTTAAAACTCACCTTATTTCCAGCACTGGCTCTGCCCCCTTTGTGACATCATCAAAATTGCAGAATTTTAGCCAATCCAATACTTTCTCATTGGGAATGCATTGGATTGGCTTAAATCGGCATGGGGCAGGGCCAAATGCCATTTTGGCTAATCAGGACCTCCTGATAGAGATGCATTGAATCAGTGCATCTCTATGAGGAAAATTCAGCGTTTCCATGCAGAGAGTGGGGACGCTGAAAGGCAGGGCTGCTTACTGTGCAGCTCTGAACCAGGAAGTCACTCCAGTGGCCATCTGAGGAGTAGCCATTTGGACGTGTCCCTAGGGGCAATGTAAACACTGCCTGTTCACTGAAAAGGCAGTGTTTGCATGAAAAAAGCCTGAAGGTAACTATTATACTCACCATAACAACTACATTAAGCTGTAGTTGTTCTGGTGACTATAGTGTCCCTTTAACCTTGCAATGTAAACATTATAGTTTCTGAAAAAACTTAAAAGGTCAGACATACTGTACCCAGACGGCTTTATTGGTATGAAGTCATCTGGGTGACTTTAGTTTCCTTTTAGGGCCAAAGACAGAAATATAAAAGTGCAGTGCTATTAGATGATGGATTTATGTCTATTTCTGCATACATTGGATGAATTGGTTTGGGTGACTATGGTGTCTTTTTAAATATTTAGTATGTTCTGGTACTCTTCCACGGTTACTCGCTAAAGGGTGAATTGTCAGAAATGAAAAGTGAATTAAAAGTGATTTTAAAATTTTAAGCTAAAAGTGCAGAAATGGGCAATTTATTCACATCAACTCTGTTTCTACTTTGCTTAAAATCTAATATTACTTTTAGTTCATTAATTTTAAATCCCTGAAAATTCACAATTTAGTGAACAATTCTGAATGCCTCCTTTGACCTGTGTCTCCTGTGTGATGCAAGTTTTGTAAGTTGCATAGTTACCTAATAACTTGGTTCACCTACCTTTGATAAATGTTCGCTGATTTTGACAGAGTTGCCATATTTTTTGCAGGACACTTTTATTCTGTTTTCTAGAGGGCAAGGCTGGTAGAATTCACATGCTCCAAGTGTAAAATTCCTGAATTAATGATTGTGATACATGATGGACATTATTATTATTAATTTTATTATTGGTATTTATATAGTGCCAACTAATTCCGCAGCACTTTACAATATTATCAAAGGGGGGACATTTGCAATGAGACAATTACACAGTGACACAGGAACAATAGGTAGATGAGGGCTCTTCTCAAACCAGCTTACAGTCCAGAGGACATCATGAATTATATTTATTGCTTGTCAGCAAATTTAATCCCTGCCTGACACAAGTGTCCCACAAAAAAACATGGTGAACGAGCAGCCTTTTTCTGCACTTATACAGAGTTATTTACTTAAGTGGGAATTTAAAGTGAATTTGAAAAATTAAGGCCAGTATAGGTTAATTTGAAAAAATCTCTAGTCAGATATGCTGTTTTGGCCTATAATTTATAACTCATTTTGAATTCTCAGTTTAATGAATAACTCTGTTTGTGTTAACAGTAGGCCATGCCTCCTCAATGACGTAACCTTGGTGCTGGAAAGAGGTAAAAACTTTAAGTTTACTAGTTATTTTGGGACACGATGAGGGCTGTATAGAACAGAGCCTCTACTGTATAGTGTTAAGAATGCAGGTTTGTATTTCTAACGCTATAGTGTTCCTTTAAATTTGAAACTTCATGTATCTTCATTGCTATCCAAATATTTAAGGACATAACTTTAAATTCCATTTAGATTTAGGTATGCTGGCTCTCCACCACCTAACATTAGTCTCTCTTTTAAGAGTGCATGTAATTTCATAAATGTGAAGAAAGGAAACAAAATAGCATTTATGTCACATCTGCTGTCAGTCATATTTGCCCCAGACAGAAAAGATAGTTGGTAACCCGTAGAGATGACAAAAATCTTTATAGTGGGAAACAGATGGCATGAGTGACAGCAATGAGCTCTATCAAATGTGCTTGGGCTTTTCTTATTGTAGCCTTGCACCTGGCATTTGTTAATGTTTCATAAACTCAGTCACTGAGAAGCTAGGTAAATGAATTCATGTATATGTTACTATATATGGTAATTTCACTGGCTGTGCTTTAGCTGTGATACAGTAAAACACATCCTGACTGCTTTAGGTTGGATACCTTGCCTTTTGTGATTGTTAAGCTCCCTTGGTTAATAATAAATCACATATGAGACCCATTCGCATTTTAAGTATGTTCCTCAAATCATATTTTTTTTATCAAAAGCATTTATATTCCAGGAGTTCCTTGTGAACATGGTATAGTGCCAAGCAAAAAAAAAAAAATGACTGCTCACATCTCTGAACAGTTTTCTTTTGTGCTGTCTGATTATAACCCTTTGAGAGTTGGAGAAGTGTGTAAATATATAAACATGGTGGTCCCACACTGTGATTTTTGTCAAGCGGCATGCCTTTTAGAGATTTGCACTACAGTCTGCGAATGGAAGAGGCCATTACAGCGATATGGATTATACTCGATGTTTCAATAAATTGTGTTTTTATGAGTGAGTGCACCACACGTCGCAAAGATCACTTAGAACACCATCTGGAGCAGATTCACACCATAATCATTTTACACATTGACTCAGGGATAGGCAACCTTCGGCACGCCAGATGTTGTGGACTACATCCCCCATAATGCTCTTATACCCATAATGCTGTCAAAGCACCATGGGAGGTGTAGTCCAAAACATCTGGCGTACCGAAGGTTGCCTATGCCTGGTGAGTCACTATACTTTCTCCTGGTTGTGAGTGTTGACATGCATATATCTGATTTGTGTCTTACATGATCTACTGCATACTTTATGTTTAACTCTTTTAATTGATGGTTGTAGTTTTGAATAATGTTGTACATTAAAAGCATTACTCACTAGCAATATTTCTGTTGTGATCTAAGTTTTTTTTTTTTCATTTATTTCTAATTAGTGATTATTTCAATCATGAGAAGTTTGCACTGGCACCCATAAAAAATGTTTTTTGTTTTTTTTGTGATCACTAAGTTATTTTGTAAAGTTATACAATATGCTTCATAACCAGTCAATGGATTGGAGTGTATGTGGTGCCTGGAATTTTGGGGCATTAGGTAACTAAACAGTTTACTCTCAGGTCAGAGATTCTCAGCCCACTGCTGCCTGGGCAATGCTTCATACCAGGGATTAAGGCAGTGATTGGTCACAAGTGTTTATCAGATGCTCTCAGACTGTCACTGCCCATAACCCCTGCTATTTCTGCCATTTACTCATTGTAAGCTGGGCTGTAGGCTGCCAGGAACAGATAATTTCTACTAAGTGAGTAAACCATTTAGTAGTTATGTGCAACTGGTCACCTGTGGGCCGCTGGCACTATAACCACTTTAATCAATTTAAATCTTTTTGGTTCCTCCAGTGCTCCTTTAAATGGACATTCAAAGCAGGATAGAAACCAATAGAATGTCTTTCAATATTTAACATTTTGCAAACAGAATCACTCATATAACTGCCTCAACATATTGTACTGATTAGCTTGCAATAAGTATTTAGGTGCAGTTCCTACATTTTTATCAAACAGTTTAGCTTGCTCACAGTCTATTATTGAGTCCAAGACAGATATATTAAGAAGATCTCAGAGAAAGCAAAGGGGTTGTACATTTGGTACTGAGAGACCCAGATTCTCAAAACACTCAAAAACAGTCTGACAACCAATGTGGAGACTGCACCCAAAGACTCCTTGCACTAAAACCACTGCAGTAATCTTTTATTGTGCTGAGAGGGACCATTCAAGATTACTTTATCAGTTGGATATACAGTGGGGTTTATCTCAAGTTCCTTCATGTAAAACAGGCCCACTCACATGCAGTTTTGGTGAAGCAGTTATCCCTTGTGTTAGCTGACTCATCAACTTATGTTCTTTGATGTAAGACCTCTGGAAGGGCTGGAAATACAGATGGCTTGTTAATTCTTGCTGTTCTTGCATTGATAAAAAAAAATTAAAAACTGGACATATAAGTATTACATAAAAAACAAAAAAAAACAAACAACATATATATACATACACTTAAAACATTTCCCACAAGCATTTATAAGTTTTAACAGAGTGTGCTACAGTCTGAATGCACAGTACTTCTCTCCCATCTGACACAATGTGTGTTTAAATTCAGTTCTAACATTAATTTCTCAGCACTAGTACTTCCTTTGAATAAAATGATCTGTTTTTAGTGGTAATATGGTGCTTCATAACAAACAGGAAAAGCTCCCACTACTTCATATCAACTAGAATTTGGAAGCATGCCACGACAGCAGAAGTACGTGAAGTAATGCACCATTATTTTGCTTCAATATTTATTATTTATTTATATGTTACTGGTATTTATAAAGTGCCAACATATTCTGCAGTGCTGTACAACTAGGGGAGAACGTACAATATACACAGACAAATAAAAAAGGGAGAGAGGGCCCTGCCCGTAAGCTGATAACTAGCCATTGAAGCTCTTTTATACAATGTGCTTAGCTAGATAGCCTGTGAGCTTACAATCTAAAGGTTGCACAGTAGTGCTTATGCCTATATTGCTATTAAGCACATATGCAATCTAAATTCCCTTTTGTCAATGGATAGTCCACATACCATTAAAAAAACCTCTTCCACTTGATTCAAATTGGTAGTTAACATTATTTATATTGTATAGTAAGTTGCACTTGAGAACTGTTACACAAGTACCTGTCACAGTTTCCTCAGTTTACACCATGCCTGGGGTAAAGCATCTGATTTTAGATCTTTGGCAACTGCTATATTGATAACATGCCTCCCAAAATTTCAACTGGCTAAAAATGGACAGCGGAGAAGCTATTCCAGAACTTTTAAGTAACTTGACAAACTATTGATAGCCATTTACTTGGCTTACGGGGTTTATTTAAACAAACTAATTTTTAAACACATTTATTATAGTTTAATTGCTCATTTCTATGAAATGTATTGCTGTAATACTTTATTAAGAGAGACTCAGGTATAAACAATATGGGAAGAGGGATTTGGGTCTAGAAAAGGATCATCCTTCCTGAAGAAGACCATATTGAGGTATGCAACACTGCTTCCGGGAGTACTTTTCTAGTGGCCAGTTATCATTGGTACTTCTTAAAGAGTCACTCCAGGCTAGAATTTACAACGTGTCCCATACATCTGTTGAGGAGCCAGAAAGACAAAAGCCACAATGACATTAAAGGGACACTATAGGCACCCAGACCACTTCATCACATTGAAGTGGCCTGGGTGCAGTGTCCCTTTTCTCTTAACCTGTTTACATTGCAGGATTAACACTGCCTCTAGTGGTTGTTTACCATATTGTAACCCTTTATTTATCTGGGGACCACAAGGGATAGAGTAGGCCAGAAGGCACTATAGTGTTAGGATTACAGTTTTGTATTCCTAACACTTAAATTTTCCTTTAAATCCCTTTAGGTGCCCGGGAGGCTGCTTTGTGTTAAATTTCTTAAATGGACACTTTAAGCACTATAACCACCATAGCTAAGGCTAATCATTCTCAGGACTCTCAGGCTATGCATGCCATAAAAAAAGTTCATTTCTGCATTAGCTAAACTGCAACAGTAGAGCAGGGCTTTGGGGGCCCTGAAGATATCTGTCTTTGTAAATCGGACTGAAAAGTGTATGACACTGCCTGCAGAGTACAGTACTCTTTGTGATATAGACACTGCTACGAACTGCAATGATTATGGTGCTCAAAGTACCTAAGAATGTTCAATTAAAAAAAAAAAAACTTATTGAATGGCAGGAATTATTGATGCTTTTATTTATTCCCTGCTATGTGTTATGCTTACAGTTTATGTTCATAAGTAAGTTGTCCACAATGTGGTAGGTGTTAGGATCTCAAAATAATTTATTGTTAGAGTTAGGGAAGATATTTCACACATTGTAAAAAATGACCAATGGCTTGTTTCATTGTCAGTGGAAGGGTTAAATGGCATCTGGTTAGCAGCTGTACATACAGACTTCTACCACCATGACCACTTTCAATCGCAGAAGTGTTCATGGATAACTCGAAAAGACCAGTAAGACACGTTGATGTAAGACACATTGAGAGCTTCTAAGATTGTTTTTAAAACCATATATATTTAGCTTCTATTTTAACATAAGCAAATATGTGTATGCTAACTCTTAAGATAATTATTAGGAGTGAGATTTATCACAGCAAAACTGGTGCTATTTGGGTGCAAAGTAAACATTGAGAGACATTCCTTTCCTAGTAACAACACAAATGCATCAGAATATATGGTATACGTTAAAAACCTTGTAAATAATTGGCCATCTTCATCCTTTAATCATTTGAACTAAAGACTCTTCAGCCAATCAATTAAGATTTGACATCAGACCTTTAACATTCACACAGATGTAAAGACCAGAAATGAGTCACAAAAGATGAGCTTCCTTTAAATAAATCTGGTGTCTGCTTTTTAAACTCATCTACAGAGAAAGGAAGTTTTTTTTTTTTTTTTTTAATTAGGAGTATAAACATTTTAGTGTTTTAATTAGTCATTTCCTCAGGTCTCATAACTCTTTACTCACTAGCTAGATGTTCTTTAAAGGATTACTCCAATTATTTTTAAATAAACCTTTCTTTCTTTTAAATGCCTTACTGGGCATCAGTTAGTAGGCCCCTCCTTATAAACCTGTAAAATAAGCATAAACCTAGCTGGAATCCAGCGCCAGACAAAGCTCGGCTTGCTGGTTTCCACACCCTGTCTGACATCACTGCTTCCTTTTCAATGGTCCAATCAAGTAATTCTCGTAGCGAAGCATTTGATTGGACTGTTCTTACCTGCTCAGTGCGCATGTGCACACTCTGAGCCACAGAGAGGAGCAGGAAGTAGTAGGTGGATAAGTGATGCAGAGAGGTGGGGAATTAAATAACAAAAAATTGATAAATCATAAGAAATATAGGGAGGTGGAGAAGGCTGAAATGATAGCAGAAGAGGGAGATTCAATCTTCTTCTTGTAGGTCCGCCCTCAGAGCAGCCTGCAAGAGTAAAAGCTCATTACGTCTATCGCCAGGTGATTGGAGTAGCTTTTTAACCCTTTGAGATATTAGTACAGCAACAAAATGGAGTATGCAAACTTGACAACTGTATGAGATCGAGAGAGAAGGGGTGACTGGTCCAAACCAGTACTCTGCCATAAAGAATCGTGTGTGCAGGGTGCTCAGATATGGACATTGTTGCCTAGTGTTGCACTAGTGCAGATAACCATGCCACAATGCTGCACTTTTTTGTTTTGTATCGATATGCAGAGGACAAGGCATGCATTGCTTGCACATAATCTAAAGTGCCAGTCATTCTGACATAATACTACAGAGTTGCACTGCTTGATAATCTGGTAAAGCTTTTCACACAAGGCAGCTGTGACACAAGTGGGATTATTCGAAACATGGGCAATATAGAGAGTTGAACAGTGACAATTTCAAATTGACTTTAACACTAATGGTACTTTCTCTTTTATTTCCTTCCACTTAGCCCATGTTGCTATAATGTGTACATTTGTGAAAAACTAACAATACACAATTCCTATATTGGTGACAGTAATATTCTTTTTACTTGGTTCAGACTGGGAGGAGATTTCGTAATCTTGTGAATAATATTGAAATTGGGAATCAGAGGTTTTTTTAATGTTTTTTTTTTCTTGTTACTTTTTGTACGAAGGCTTAAAGTGTGAAAATTCCAGGACATTTCCCAACAATTCCCGGCTATTAGTGAATAGCCCTATTTGTGCATGACAAAGCATACAGAGTTCTCCCTTGCTATTCCTAAAATGGGTGCAGTAACTTTGCTTGGGGGTGGGGAAATCAGGGAATGAGTGGGGCTAAGTGTCATTCGTTCCCCTAATTTAAGAGAAATGCATTTTCAGAAAGACTGGAAATTAAATTGTAATCTTTGACCGTATGGGAGTGGTAAACTAACTAGTTCCCAGAAACACTGTACTGCAGTATCAATTTTAACAATAATCAATTTAATGCATTTCGGTTCCCATGCATTCTTTTAGTAGGTAACATTTCCTCTTCTTGTTCAATACATTTAAAATATACTAATTTTTTTGCATGTTCATGAATTGAAAAGATGGAAATGGACCTGTGACTCATTTCCTTGTAGAATGTTAACTAAAGCATCTGTTCTAAGTTTGCCAGAAATTACTGTCATTGTTATTGAAATGGGTAACATTTGCCAAGTATAGAATAGTTTAACAGTGAGCAATGAAAAAGGAATTACTATATATATATATATATATATAAATATATATATATATATATATTTATATATATATATATATATATACATATATATCTTTATCTTTTGAGTGCTAGTGGCAAGGCCAAATACACTAGTACACCTCTGGCACATCGATAGTAATTGGTGGGTTATTTATGAGAAAGCGTAGCCTATTCCTTCACAGTAGTGATAAATGTTTGAATTATAGATTTTACTGAAATACAAATTCTATCTGATAACAAACAGATGGCTGGCTTAGTGACACAGAGAGTACATTTAACACCCCTAAACTGTAGATAATACATTAACATGTTCCTAGGTTCCAGTGTCATTTTCATTCAGTTGAGACCATGAAATTTCCTTCAATCCAATGATTCTCCTAAGGAACGGCAAATATTTTAAAATGTCATGAGCACTGCACCCAGATCAGATCACTTCATTGAGATGTCTGTTAACTCCAAGCACCATAAGAGGACACCATCCATAGGAAAGTAGTCAAACAATTTGAGAAGAGATTGGCGGCTTAGCTGTGGTCTTCTGGTCACTTGCCGCTGCTTCTAATGATGATGGAAAGCAGTGAACTGAGCTAAACCTGATGGTACAGGGAGGCACTCATTACCTGAGAACAGTCAGCGTGCTGGCCATGCACGTTGTCAAACCATTCTTAAACAGTTTGGCTATTTATCCTGGGAGTACTGGCTCCTTAATCTAAACATAGAGCTGAAGTGGTTATGGTGCTATGACTGTTTATCAATCTGTTGGCATGCACTTCTCAGGGGTCTGAGAGCTTACTCTACTGTTTGAATCTTAAAAATGCACATATCATGTATGGAGGTAAATGTGAAGTTTTCTTACATCTGTGTTAGCTGGGAAAACATTGTCTTCACCGTTTTCTGATAAAATATATAGGATTCATTGTGGGAACTAAAAGTGCTGCAACAAAACCTTCTAATTACACTAAACAGATTTGTATCATCTTTAAATTCTTCACCAATTCCTGAAATTATAACCCTTCAATTAACTCTTAGAAGGTTTGATGGATAACCCCTCCTCTAATTTAACAAAGCTCCTCCATGCCTAGCTTAAACCATAAAAGCCTACATGTATCTGCATGCAGCTGAATTAGTTCATTTTTTTTTTTTAAATAAGCAAATTAAAAGGGTACAAGAATTGAGTTATTTTGAAAGCTAATAGAACCAGTACTATGGCTTTCGAGAGAAAAAAAACATTTTGTCACAAAAAAAGGCAATATCAGAGATAACAGTGATCCCTCAAAATAATCAAATATAGAAAGCTTTGAGTTGTCTGTCAACATTCTGTAATGCATATCCCATGAATACCTGCTGGGATAAAAACATATGCCCAGTGTTCTCTTTGACTACAGAGGGAAGGCTAGGATCAGCTGTGAGTATTTAGCCACTCCTTGATCCTTATAAAAGCTACCGATTTACAGCAAGAGAAATTCAGAGGTCACTTATTTCTAACTTTACTTTATGCATCTATTTTAGATGGTGTTCAGTTCCAGCCTGGGATTTTTTTTTACATATATCTTTACTGTGAATTAATCTCTTTTCCATTTTCAATTATTTTTTTAATATGTTATGTTGCACTGGCATTTTAAAAAGGATTTAGTTTGCGTTGTATTAAATATACATGAAATAAGTGTAAATTAAGCATTAGTAAAGGCCAATCATACACATCTGGAGTTCTAGAGATCGAAATTCTTCATTCTTGTCTTTTATAACATGCTGGAATCTTTTTTTTATCAAATATAAACTCGACACCTGGAAGCTACTCTAAGCTACTTCTCATTTTTGGAAAATCTAAGGGCATTTGTCAATTCCCAGGATTTTTAATATTGTGTTTACTTATCCCATATATTTAACACATATCTTAGGTATCGAAAATATGAATTTAAATGTAGAAATAGTGACAATGATATTAACCAGCAAAGGCATGGTCCCTGTCCCTGTCAATCATTGTTATAAGCTCTGAACTATTTTGTCATCGTACCTAGTAAGTGGATGAGAAGACACCGAATAGTGTTTGCATTTTTGGGCACCCTTCAACTTCCAGAACAGTGCCTTTTTACCGAAAAATACTTGCCTCTCAGAAAAAAATCCATGTATTGGGAATGGCGATATAGGAGCTAAGTGGGAGTCTTAGTAAGAAGCTCACTGTGTCCAGCCTCTGTAGTAGTTGAATTAAAAAAAACCTATAAGGATTCTTGATATTGAGGATTCTCTGCTCCTTTGATACTTTTTATCTAGCAAAAATGCAATTCGGAAAGTGTCTGTCTGGAACACAGTGTATCCTGTCCTTGCCCGACCATACCCTGCTGTTGACAATAGCATATCTGGGAGTTTTGTTAGCATTTCATAATTCTGCATAGTTTGAAGTTGTGTTTTCCCACTCCAATATGTGTATCATTCTACAATTGATAATAAAAAAGTACCGACAGTTTGTTTTCAATGTTACATGTGTTTATCCATGATTCCAAAAACAATTGCCAACTTTGCAAGAGACGGAAATTGGCATCATTTGTTATATAATATGTTTAATATGTTTTACAAAACATTATTTTTGGACAGTTTTGCTGTGCATATGTTTACTTTCATCTTATCAAATAATTAGAAGGTGACACTAATATTAGTAACAGAGGATGACCAGAAGAACATTGTACATATGCTGGCACTTCATCAATGAAAATGGCAGACTAGATTGTTTCACTGTTAGAAGGAATTGAATCAATGAGACCACATGCTATTATGTTCCAATGCACCATACCAGTGGTTTCGATTTTTTTTAGGTTTAAGGCACCCTTAATATTCTTCCAAGGTGCACCAAGTGAAAAAAAAAAATTTCTACCTTGTATATCTGTACAGCGCTGCGGCATATACTGGCGTTATAGTGTAATATACAGTACAGTGTTGGTGTTTTAAGGGGTGCCTGTTCAGCAGAAATGTTTCCCCGGTGCTCTAATCATACCATCGGAGAAACATTTTGCGGTGCCCCTGGGTCCCCGTTGCGGCACCCCAGGTTGCAGCAGCACACAATTTGGGAACCAACATAGAGAGGGCCCTGTTGCAAGAATTTATTTGAGTGCCTCTATCGCAACACAGATATACACCTTCAGATATACAGGTAAACACATGCAGACACATAGACACTCTGACACACACATGCAGACACACAGATAGACACAATTATTATTATTATTATTATTAAAGGGGCCAGCGCACGACCAGGCCCCTGAGTACACATGCCCATTGGGTGGCCTTAATTGTATGGGCCACCCGATGGACCACTCAGCATGCGGGATCCGGTGCAGACACAGCTTCCAGGGTAGGATGAGCATAAATTACTACCATTTTAATTCGAGTGTTGCTGTCTAATGCTCCTGCTTAAGAAGGGTTATCTCTTCATACTGGAAAATGAGATCTGGAATTGTTAATATTTTTTAGAGATTGTAATTAGTGAAAGTTTATTAGGGTTATTCACTACAGTCAAGGTCAAAATAGTCAATCTGGAAAAATTCTCTAAATCAGCTAGGCCCTAAATTAGAAAATTCACTTTAAATTCTCACATTAGTGAATAACCCTGTATATGTTAATACAATTAATAGCAACATTGATGGCTGAGGCATTCAGAGTTCTCCCCTGTTGCAGACAGAATTCAGATTTTGCCCAGATTTCACTTAAACCTGTCCTTTTCTTTCAGTTTAACTGCTAGTAGCAATCGTAAGCTTTACTTTTATTTGTCCTAAGGTCCGAAGGTCTCATGGTCCACCTATGCTTTTACAGTTGTATGTGTGGCTCACAGTACATGAGACACTATGAAAGCAGACTAGAAAAAATAATTTGAATTGGCATTTTTTTAAATTTATGTTAGATCATTGTCTTTTCTGGCAGGTTGTAATTATGCCGATGAATCATGCAGTGTGGATCATGTGCTTTTGGCACTAATTCACTTTTATTTTATGAATTATATAAATCAATCTTTAATAATATGTCCTTTGTCATTATTCAGAACAATCATGTGAATGTTGTGAAATGTTTTCCCCAAGGAAAAGAGATTAGACGTGCACCACTGAAACAAAACATTAACTTACTGCTGAAAAATACGAAGTTAGAAAAATGAAGAACATCTGTCCCAAAATTAATTCCTCGGTAGTTAGTAAGAATATACAAATGCAAATGTTTTCAAGATAGTTTTGTCCGCTGCTATGGCAACCACATTCAGCTTACCTGTGACCACTTACATGTCTACATTCTAGCGTTAATCATAACCAATGGAATTTATGGAGGGGAGAAATAGCATGAGATTAAAGGGCATGCTCTGTAACCACCAATGTTCAGTAGATTTGTTACGGTGCAAATATTCATTTTCCTTTTTAATACAGACTGAAAATAATTTTTTTCCCTGCAGAATCAAGTCTCCTCTGCTGGAACTCAGCCTTCACTTTATATAACAAAATGTAAAAAACAACTGTCACTCACCAAGACTATGCGGTGGGTGCAGTGGCTTTGTTCTCACGGATCAAATGTAGAAGCATAAATGAAAAACAGTGCAGCTTCCTTCTTCAAAGCATTCAGCAAGTCTTTATTAGTGCCATCATATTTTTATGTATTTTCAGTGAATATGATTCTATGGGGTTTATGAATAAAATGTCTTCTGTACTGAAAAGGTCTAAGTGAGACAGTCACTGTAACGGAGCTCCCTGTACCCCTGGCTGGGTACCTCTGCCAAGGACTGCTTCCTAGCTGGAAAAGGGTACAAACCGCAGCACTTCTGCCACAGTCGCCGTGGCTTGACTGGGGTCCTGGAACCGCTCCCTCCTGGAGCCAAATGGGGATTTTGCTCTAGACACCTCCAGGCACTGGACGACACTCAATCCTGGGAGCTCTAGTCCTTACAAGGACTTTCCCTGTTGAATTCTGCACACTGGGACAGTGATTAAATAATGTAAAATAGGTGTGGGTATCCAGGAGCTACGTGATATTACAGAATATATGAGAAATTAGGTAAGTATAACCTTAAGTGCACAACCTTATAATGTAAAAAAAGAGAACAATGGTTAAAGATTACAATAAAATTAGAGACTCAAATATATGGTAAAATAACATGCATAACACACTAAAACCATAAAGACTTAATACCAAAACTTGATGATTATAAAGAAATTGTGTGAATCCTAGATAATACTCCAAATAATAATAAAATAAAAAAGTCCAGATTGGTTTAAAAAGATTGCTTTAACAGTCCACAGGTTAAATCGAATGATTAGATCCAGTTAGTGCAATAATAATGTATCATAAGTAGCTATGACCCAACTTGTAACAACATTACTGGATAAACAAGCACCTATGACTTTGATATACTTATATTGTAAAGATGTAACCAAATCCAGAATTGATACAATCGGCAGTTTATTATAGACAAACTAAATGCCTTGCATTAAAAGCTGATGTTATTATATTCCTAAAGAAATAGTAACTATTGTTGATTGTTAAAAAATGAAGATTTTATTGAAAAATATCAAACTGTATAAAAATTAAAAATATAAAAAAAATGGTGAAATGCTGAGGTAGGTGAATAGTCAATTTTGTCTCAGATAAAAAAGAAGTAAAAACCTGTAATCCAGACCCGGATGCCAATGGATTGTGTAAGAGTTGATTCCTCTTCTATCTCCTCGTTGCCGGTGAGGACGGCGTGTGATTTCCTTCGTCCTCCTCCTCTGACCTCATATCGAGGGGTGGAGTATGAGACTCACGAGGATGATGTAAACACGACTAGATACCGGGTCCGGAGTGATGATACTCGACAGGCATGCACACAGAGACTCGACTTTCTCCTCCCAGATTCAACTGCTGGTTGCCTTACGCGTTTCGTAGGGTAGGCCTACTTCATCAAAGCCTCATGCGAACAAGATGGCCGCCACATCGTGGTCATCCTTAGTAAATACGGCCACCCAGACGAACACTTAGAATATTGCGGTGTAAATTGCTACAAAGTATCAATTAGGCTTGACAAGCTCCAGGGTGGTCTCCAGTGCATGTGGCTGCTCGGCTCCCGAACCATATAGTCCAAATACACAAACGGAGACTTTTACATTACATTTTACAGGGTCCATAGTCTGTTGGCAGGAAGCTGGCAAGCAGGCTCCTCCAGGAGCTCGTTGCAAACTCACTTGCAAAGGGAAGTTTGTCACAGTCACCATGTAAACTTGCAGAAGCAGTAGGTTGTGTTTTATATCAGCTGGTTAGAGAATGGTAACATTACTGCCTTAGACCCAGCAAAAATCCTGGTTTGAATCCCAGTTAGAACTCCTTACCAGTAAGTGACATCAAATATATATCTGCCTACCTCAAATCTTTGTAGACGTAAAGCTTGAGCAGGGCCTACCTCGCCTCTAAATATCCACTTTTTTACAAATGTAAAGTGCTGTAGAATATGTTGGCACTATAAATAATAACAATAATTGAAAACCTAATCACATGACTGGGTACTTTAACATGTCCTATAAAAGTCACTTTTTTTTCCCTCACTGCTTTATTGCTGCTAGCCTGCTGCTATTAGCACATGGCTTGACAGGTATTGCTGTGAAGTGATATCACCAATAAAGGATTGTTAAACCCTGTTCTTAATTTATTCTTTAATGCTGTATGGAGTGATCTAGATAGTAGGAAGCTAGGGAAGATTGTATGAATAGAACCCGGTCCAGCATGAATTTACAACAGAGCAGCACACAACCCGGTTCATTTTAAAATGTTATGAGATTTTCTCTCAGCTCTGCTATATATGCCAAAAAATATTGGTCAGTTGGGTTTATGAGAGAAAGATAGCACTTCTGTAGAAAGATGTGGGAGGTTTAGGTTTAAGATAACTCAGCCATTTCCTGGAGGGTGTTATGAACTCTGTAGCAGCAGAATGTGCTACAGAAGATCAACATTCAGATATGATTATCTCTCTGTTATTTTTTTTAGTATATTTTCAATACATCATCTATATACAACTTAATAAAATATGTGGCATATCCAATATGAAGGCTAAATGAATACGTAGTTATGGCCATTCAAAAATCACAGGGATGGTGTTTCTCTTCTGTAACTGAAACAAAAGATGGATCAGTATATATTTTTTTGCACACCATAGTTTGCTGCAAATTCCATTAAAGAGAATCCGCATCCAAACTGACTGCTATTTCATTTCATGTGGTAACTATGATGAACGTTGGTTCAGTTTTAAGTCACAGAGGCCATCCCCATTAATAGTGGACCATGCACAGAGCTCTGTGACAACTCTTTGCTCATAGTCCTTATGTGTTTAGCATAACGCTCACGCTGCGCTTTCTGGGGACAGTTACTCGGTGTCGAAAAATGCAGTACACCATAAATCAAGTCTGTGGCACATTAACACAAAATCGGTACTGTCCCCCCAGATTTAGGACAGTTTGAAGGCCTGTGTAACATATGAATTGTCACAATAGTAACATATGTTTTTCTGTTTAAATTAGGTTTTTATGTAGGCAAGAATTAGAGCAATGTACTATATGATTTCTTAGGACAGGGCTTGACAAATTTGTTTGGAATCTAGGAGCCAGCTAAAAAAGTTAGGACACTTGAGTCACTAGAACCACTACAGATTAATGTAGTTGTTCTGGTGCCTGTAGCCTGCCTCTGTAGCCTTTTCAATGTAAACGCTGCCTTTTCAGAGAATGTTACCAATAGAGAACATGCGTAATATCCTCCCGTTCATTAAGATCTCAGCTATGTAGGCGGGACAAGCAACAGCGAAACCAGCACGGCGTGGGTAAAAAGGTGAGTAAAAACACCAATCATGTGATCAGAGGGGGACAGGTACCTAAACAGACACACACTCTCTGACAGACATACACACGCCCACACTGACTGACTGACAGAAATACACACACACACTGACAGATACACACACTCATTAACAGAGACAGACATACACACACACACAGACATACACACACACTTTCTCTAACACTCACACATTTATATTTTTAATTCTAACCCACCCAGCCTCCCTACCTTTGGGAGAGCTGAGTGGACTTTCCCTAGGGTCCAGTGGGGCTGATATTCCTGCGCGCGAGGGATCAGTCGTCCTGAAGCTCCTCTCTACTCCCTCGCACTGTCTGCAGTGATGCCGAGGCTGGAATTACGTCATATTCCATCTCCCGGCATCATTGCACAGCACGAGGGAGCAGAGAGGAACTGCAGGAAGACTGCTCCCTCGCGTGCTGCCCCAACCAGCTGCCTCCATACCTCCCGCGGGTGGGCAGCCGGCTACAAAGCTCCCTGGGTTGGCAGGCTACACAGTTTGCTGAGCGGCGGGCAGCCTGCTGGCTCCAATGTCCCAGATGCCAGGGCAAAATTTCAAGTCACAATGGCGACCTGGCGCCTGGGGTTTGTCGAGCCCTGTGTTAGGACGTAATGTAGTGTATAGAATATGCACGAGAGAATGAGAAAAAGCTACAGTCATGCCCGTGGGTTAGAATAGGTAGGAAATGGAAGTAGTAAACTCTACAAAAAGTAATGTTTTAAATATGACCTATTTTTGCCTTGTTAAATCCCCACCCCTCCCCAGCCACCCCCGCTTGTTTAATGAAACATCAAGTTCTTGCTAAGTGTGTCAATTTAAAGTGCTTAGAGAACATCAGCTCTGCACTAATGGACCAACTAAAGAAGAAAAGAAAGGCAGAATGAGCACCTCTTAAAATAGCCTTCTAGCTTTTAATGAAACCTTTTCTCATAGCTCTCTGCTTTTGCTATCATCAAAAGAAACGTGGGGTGCTGCTTTATGTACAAAATGCATCAAAGTGCTTTTATCAAAGAAAAGTAGTTATGTCAGCTTGAGGTTAATTACTCTTTTATTTGCATTCGATTGTCATTTGATGCTTTAAATTTAGCTAGTATTGTGATTCCTTTTTATTATTGTACTAACGTGAAAATGCTAATGGCTTGCTATTAATATTTATTGATAAACATATCTGAGAACCTCTGCCTCTTGGAAGTACCTCAGTTTCTCAGAATGCCTCAATGGTTTGACACTTTTACTGTTACCACTCGGTTATCGTTTAGTAGGGACACATGACAACAATCCTCTGGCGATAATTGTGGCCTGGTTACAGTTATCATTAGAATTACTTTTGGTATTTATAAAGCTCCAATATAATCCACAGTGCTGTACAATATGGGAAAATAGACAGTACTGTATTGACAAACCAATATGAAAGGAATGGAGGAAACTACCCATAAACTGATATCAAGCATTTACAACCCTTCCATACAAAGTACTAAGCTAGATGGCTAGTGAGATTACAATCTAAAGATTTGGATGTAGAATTGAGACAAGAAGGAGCAGGTATAACTTTTGAAGATAATGGACAGTGAGCCTTAGGGCATGTGATGTGATTGAGGAGGTAATTGGTGAAGATGCCTTTAAAGGCATGTCGTAAAAGAAGTAGGGAGCAGGGTGGGTAGGTGAGAAGTGCTTAATAAAAATGTAGGTTATTGCATGCAGTAGATCTGTGTATGAGGCCTACAGATGGGATAGAATGTAGAGATAACAGTTAGCTGACTGTATTGCTGGAGAAGGGGGGAGGGGGTGGCAGTGTAAGACAAAAGAAGAGCGAGGGAAATTTTTTATTAAAAAGTAAGTAATATTGGAAGAAAAAATATCTATATCATAGAATCACAGATGGAGTAAACAAAAGGCAGAGTAATGGTGACTTAGTGTCTCAAAGCTGCCCTCATTACCTGCTTGCAGGAAATCACAGGATGCTTGAAATAGATATGGATATGTTTTGCAGATTATAAAATTATTTTTGCAAATATAAAAAAATGTGATAAGTATTGGATCCAAGTATGTTTGTTGGAATTTGTTGTATTTGCGCCAATAAATGGTTAGAGTTCAAGCTCTATAAGTGGTTAGTGTAACGGCCACCCGGGTTGTAGAGGGGTGTATGCCGTTGGAGACGTCCTTTTTCCCAGTGAGAGGCTGTGCTGCAGAGTAATCACGATATCCCATCTGCTGGATCAGTGTAGAGATAGAGAAGCAGAGCTCTTAAAAGAGCTAGAGATTTAGCTGGATGCAGGTTCCCTTCAATAACGAGACAAGGCTACGTTTTGAAAGGTTAAGCAGAACTGAATGCACTGAGGCTTTATTGCTTCTTTTATACACATTTCACCACAAGGTTACCACCCATGTGGACCTTGTTGGGCACTGATAACACAAACGTAACAACCAATCATTTACAGACACACAGTTAAACACTCCAATTCATTACAGCAAATTCCTCCCCTCTGCTTGGTAGATAATTGAGTTTAATGGCTGTATTAACTCAATTATCTCCAAGCGAAAAACATACCTTTTACACAACTTTTATAACTTTAAAATTATACATCACATTCGCATACATTTTTGGAAACAGCATAATTATGGGAACAACATATCCAAAATTCATGCAAATCCGTTTAGCCATTCGGGAGTTAGCTGGAAGTCTCTTTTGACTGACCGCACGCACATTTTCCTGCCCAAAACAGTTCCACAGATTTGGGCTGTGCGGCCAGTCCGTTCATCACAGTTCAAATGCCTTTTGAATGCACAAACGGCGCCGTTCGTGCAAATATACACTGTTACTGTGGCGTTCGTATAGTCAAACATTGTTCGACTCCCGCCGAAGTGTCAGAGTTATAGAGAAGGTAAAACGTCAGCAGTGTTCGTGCCGTCAAGTATCCGATTTTAGTTTCATGAACTTGACGGCAAAACACCACTGACCGCGTTCAGCTAAATTAAAATGGCCGCCGCCACATGTTCATTTGTCGAATGGCGGCCACTTCGACTACTTCGGCACTTTGGCTGCATCCAAAGTGCCATAGCAAAAGTACAATTTTTTTCCCAGAGCATTTACAGGGCCAGAAACAGTTTAATACAAGTCCATAAGCCCAAATAAGTTTTTAAAGGGCAGTACATCCCAGGGGGTTTACATTGTTACCGTCTGTGGTCCAGACAATAACAGGGTTCTGTTACAGTTAGATGTCTCAAAAACTTTCTGTGTTGTGTCTTTCGCATCTGTTTGGAAATGTGAGGATTACCTAGTTTTGTATTCCTAACATTGACGTGTTCCTTTAATGTCTCATGAGTCCTAAATGTGTAGTGCAACAATATAAATCTCTTTGACGGACAAAATATTATATTGTATAATACTTTAATTCAGGTATCAACAGGTACTACGCAATGCACCTCAGTGAGGTTAGTTAATTGAACATGCAATTATCTTATCGTATAGCTTTAAAGTGCATTCCTTGCGCTTGTTTTTTTTTGGGGGGGGAGAGAAGGACTTACCGTTGCCAATGTGCACGCAGTGAAGCCAACATGTCCCCCCTGGGAAGTAGGTGTTTTATCGCTCTAAGTAGCTGCAAGTATGTAATAAAATACAGCACACTAAGCAAAAATACATATGATTTGGAAATATGATAAAACATATATTTAGTGCCTTGTGAGCTGTAATTTGTCATGACAGCTTTAATAGCTGGTAGATAAATTTAAATCAATTTAGAGTCCGGGTGCTTTCATTCTTAAACAGGAATTCAAATCAGTAAATCATAATATTGTTTTCTTTGCAGCCATCATACATTCTTGTAAAGAAAGTAATGTATCTATATTTTTAAAGCAGAAAGACATATTATATTTTCTTCAATAAAGTTTGTATGGTAGTTTAAGTTATCCCCCCAAAAAGCCACTACTACAAAACATGCAGACAAAAAAACTTACCAAATGAAATGTGCTCACAACGCGTGATTAAGGGGCATTGACTAAACAAATAGTGAAGTCATAGAAAGTCCAGCATGGCCTTGTTAAGCTTGCACTTTTATGCTGTTTAATGAAGGGAATCCACATCATAAAGCTAATATGCAGGCTTTAACTGTCAGCACCATTACTAATTGTTGTGTTGAAACAAAATGAATGAACCATGAAAAACTGGTTAATGATAACGTGTGTTCTTTCTTTTGTAGGTTTTGGAAGCGACAACAGTCCTTGGAGATTCTGTCAAGTAAAGAAGTGTGAAGTCATACGGTTTCTCTTGAACTCGTTTTATACAAGTGATTTAAAAATAGAGCTTATGTACCAAGTAACAAAGCAAATGTGACCGAACTACAGTGCAAACACCACTCATGTGAAATAATTTTGTCCTATACCTCGGAACTGATTTTCTTTTAAAATGCCAGCAAAGACACCAATTTATCTGAAAGCCGGAAACAATAAAAGGGGGAAAAAATTTAAACTCAGGGATATATTGTCCCCTGACTTGATAAGCCCACCTCTTGGAGATTTTCGTCACACTATACATATTGGAAAAGATGGACAACATGATGTTTTTGGAGATATCTCTTTTCTTCAAGGGAATTATGAATTGTTGCCAGGTAACCAAGGGAAACCCAAAAATCCTCATTTTAATGGACATAATGAATTTTTGAGAGCAAACAGCACTTGTGACTCAATGTTTTCAGAAACTTCCTCACCTGTTCTTAAGAATGCCATCTCCCTTCCTACGATAGGTGGATCACAAGCTTTGGTCTTGCCTTTGTTATCTACAGTGACATTTAATTCCAAAAGGGACTCCTTTAGCCCTTCTAAATCATCCAGGCTTAGCTGTGAGCCTGTTTTAGAAGAAAAATTACTAGAGAAATGTCAGCCATATGAAAATGGGCACCGGTATGACAACGAGAGCTCTTGGAAAATCACTGGTTCTGCGTCATGTTCTACAAATGGAAGATCAAGCCATTCTTCCAGTCTTTCTGAACAATACAATGACTGGCAAGCACTTGACTTGTTTGAAGACAACCATATTCCTTGTGAAATAGAGAGCACAGATTTAAACTCAGACGAGTCTCTCTCTGACCTGGCTGGCTCCCTCCTTACTCTCCAGCTTGACTTGGGGCCTTCTCTGTTGGATGAGGTGCTACACGTTATGGACAAAGACAAACCCTAAATTCATGTTTTCTTTCCAAACCTTATGAAATGGTACAAAGATAAACATCTGGCATAGCACGCAGCCAGACTTGAAGATATTAATACCCAGAAATGTCATTTTTTTCAGTAAAAAATAAGAATCCTCAACAATTACAAGAACTAGCCCGTATAGTAATTTATTATACATTAATAAAAACTCATAACATCAGAGCAAGCAGGATTATTTTTTTTCTACATTTTGTGACACGTTGTAAAGAATATATTCATGTGGATTTTGTCCAATTCTCAAAATCCATGACCAGGAGAAAATACTGTTTATGAGTTCATGTTGGAACCAGATCCCATAATAAAAAAAAACATATTGAATTATGTTGGCATATTTTCTGATTGTATTTTTTAAACATCCCATCTGATTGTTGTTATTTTTAGATGCACAGGTGCCATTTCCATTGACTTTAACAATGTACAACTATACATGTTTGAACTTCGCAAACCATTAGCCTCCCTGAACATAGCAATGATCACAAGTAAATTATTTCCGTTCAGATATCTTTATGTGCCTTTGTATTTTTACAGCAAAGTTTGTATTTTATAGATATTGCATCACCATTTTTTTATCCGCTTGCAGATTTTAATTGCAGGCTTTATGTATTTTTTTGTGAGTGTTCGGGAAAATATGTATTTTATGATTTTTTTTTTTTAATCTACGTTCTACAAATGCTTAAGGCTTGTATGTTTCATTTGTAAACATAGCACTGGTTTCTCACATTAATAAATAAAATGGTAAATGCTTAATGTCCTGTTTGTTTAAAACTTGGATATTTGAAAGACAGTATTTATGAATGTTTAGGGAATTTTAAGAATATAAACAACGTATAAAGTCTCTCTGCAATAAAGTAAAAAGTGATTGTTTAGTTTTAGCCCTGCCACTTTAAATACACAATGAAAGCACTTGTTATATCGTTTGCATTATAGTTTTCAATGCAATTCAAGTATGTTTAAAACATGTTAACTCTATTTCAGAAATAAATTTGCAAAAAAAAGTGTACTTTGTTTTTGAGAAATCATTTTGATCCCATGTGGTGGTGAATATTGTAAGCATCCGTTATTGGAAAATAGTAGATTGTAGTTCTTTTGAGTTTTTTTTATGTAGTTGTGACATCTTGAGGGTTTATGTGTGTCATCATTACTAGAAAAATGAGCGCATATGAGAATGAGCAGAACTAAGGATGGCTAGTATGTAGGCGTAAAGTTAAAATTCTTAAAAAAAATTTAAAAACCTTGCAATTAACTTGTAACAGACATGGGTTAGTCATAATAATAATTTTGTAGACCCAGGACATAATTGAAAACAAGAGAAATCTCAATGTATCCATCCTGGTAAAATATTTTATAAATAAATACAATACGAAGATTCCAGCTGTTAGCAAACCACAACTGTCAAAAAGTACAAAGCACGAGAAATGACTAGAAAGGGTACATGGAATTTGTAGCCCACTAATAGAGTTTTTTGATTTCACATTCCCTGTATTAGCCTATTTACGGTGATGATGGGTAAAGGTCAAGTGAGGCACAAATCGGATAGTTAGAGGTAATGGACTCCAGTGATGGAAAATCCCCCTCTAGCTCTAAAGGGGTTAACAAGTAAAGGACAAAGGAGTCCAATGAAAAGTTAATAAGTAAAGCATTGGCAGGAGTATATGTGCATACATGAAACATTAACCCCATGGAAATGAAGAACGGCAATTTAATGGTAATCCTTACTGACATCTGAAGAGGTTAGGTATGATGAGAACCTAAAACTGAGACCACAAAGGGTTAGCATCATGTGAGAATACTGCATTTTACTAATGGGTATTGTATTTGTTAATACTATGCTTGTTGTACTGTTTGAAATGCAATCCCCAATCTAATTATTCTCTTACCAGGAAATCCTATTTAGTGTAATATAGCATGAGTGCACCTTGTCCCATAGGATATTCTGTCATAGAGAGGTACAATTCTTGGAGCTTTGCCAGTGGGCATAGATAGTGCAACCTACCCGCAAAACACAGGGGCTAACTAGCAAAGCTGCAAGTTCTGCTGGATGTTCAGAGCTTTCGGAAAGTGTCTGCACATTGAGGGAGCTCCCTGCCCTCCATTATGGAGATCTCCCTTGTATTATGTTATCCCCAGAATGCACACAGGAGATAGTTTGCATCCCCTTCAGCCATTTTCTCGAAATAGCACAGACATCCTGGCACCAGGGATTGGCATTTGCTCAATACTTGGTTCCCATTAGGTCACTGCTGCTTCTAATCAGGTCATCGCACAAGTTTTACTTAGTCCCACCTATATTTAACTTATTTTACTGTATAAATACTCTGCATGTTGTTCAATAACTTACCATTCGTCATGTCCCTTCACTAAACCTTGTCTAGAGTTTGAATTTGTCCTTCCGTCCATTGGTTGACTGCTGGTTGTGCAATACCACCGAGGAAGCTCAGGCTGAGTAGAATGGAGGTACCAGGTTGCTGCAGTAGCTCCCGGAGATCCTTGGTGGCACAGAGGCAAGTGTAGTAACAACTTCACGTCTAGACCCAGATTTGGGTAACAGGTATTCTGATCCAACTACAAAAGGAAGGGATACCTTTACAATTTAAATTTTTTGTGTGTCTTTAGTGTAGATAATAGTTTACTTGTGTTATTTTCCTTAATAAAGTTTAATATCCAGGTCAGTAGCACTAAAATAATATAAAATTAGGTGATTATGAATTATATATAGTAAGAGGAAGTATTTCTAACAGCTCAATCTTGTTTGGCCGTGTCCAAGTATGTTTTAACAGTACATGTCTGGATGTGACAAAGATGGTGTGGAATGCAAGTAAGATGACACAAAAGAATGTGTCAATAGCAGGTCGTAGTTAGCTCTCTTCAATTATGCTAAACAGGTGTTAGCACAGAGGCCACCATGATAGAGCACTTGAAGAACTCTTGTAAAATTCTTTATTTTGTACGTTTAGTCTGTGAAATGCTAACTTTTGTTCTCTGTGGAGTGTGGAGAGCAGAACGTTGTTTTAAGGTCATTGTTTAGAAGCAAAATAGAAAAAATTGTATTCTTTATTTAAGGAAATGTGCTCTCTATTTTGAATGGGGAATTAAAAGGACTTAAGACATATTTCCAAATGCTTTTTGTAAGAAACATTTTCCCATACTATTTTTAAATATTGTTTTATTAAGTTATAGGGTTTTATATAGTTTAAAACTCATTATTTATGTAAGTTTCATGAATGTCCAAGATGCTGTTATTCTTTGAAAACTGTAATAACTATATGAAGTTTTCTAAAAATATATTAATCCATGTTTTCAACAAACTATGCCCATTAAAGATATTCTCAACAATTTTTTAGTTTTCAGTTAAATTGTGGTTTTGAAACCTGGAGAAATACAGATTCGACAGTATATTACCCTATAAAGTGAAAAGAACTACCCTGTAGGTATGCAACCAGTGTAACCAAACTACACAATGTACAATTTTTTTTACAGGAATTGTAAAATAAATAAAACCGATGACTATCTTATCCCCTGATGCTCCATGTTCTATTTTTTTTTCTTTTGACAACCTGATTGTGTTATCCTCTCATTTGATAACCCCAATTTAAAGGGGCACCCCACACACTTACAACACTTTAGTTTGCTGAAGTGCTTTATGCATAAAGAATCTCTCCTCTTTTTTTTCATTTTTCAAAATGTGCACATTTGAAATGAAATAAAACATTTTTTATAATTGAGCCTCGTTCCCCGTCCCCCACCACTGTCAATCAGACAACAGATCATGTTACTTCCTGGTAGTAGAGCTACATTGGTAAGTTTGTGAGAGCTTGTAAGCTGTTTTAAATGCATGTAAGTTTTCATTGGGTGTCAGAACTCACTCATCTCTCATTCCACAATCATTACATTATGTCTTCATAAGCTCCAACTTCCTCTTTTAACATGGCCACACCTTCAGTTAAGAGGTGCTAACAACTTACTTGGTAAAAGACAGTTTGGTGCAACAGTGTGTTTCTCAATTATTCTGTTGCTACTGAATGCTGCAGTACTTTTCCCTGAGCTCACTCTGCTATATTCAATTGTTACCAACCTTGCTAGCATAACTGATTACATCGCATTCTCCAACACTGAACTCGGATCTACCACGTATTTCTACTTAAGCAAATTTGTACCTCGAACCGTATTTAAACTATAGTTAACCTAGTACTTTATTAACAAATGCAACAACAACAAAAGATAAATGTAAGCGTAGAGGCTAAGATGGGAGTGAAAATATGGAGAAATAAAGCAATGTTTGGTAGTGATAGGAGCTTGTTGTGGAGAAGACAGAAGTTGGACTGATAGCAAGGTTAGTGTATAAATGAGTGTATAAAATCAATACAGGAAAGTAAAAACACACCTAATGCATTTCAGCTATATAAGACTTTTGAGAAATATTATACACTAATTTTGTTCAATAAAATAGTTGAGCCTGGACACACATTTCCTTCTTGGGGAACATACCACCTAAGTGCTGTGGATTGGGCAAAACCATACTTTTGCTCTTTCTATGTGAGTATCCCTCCAATTTTGTTTTAATGTTTAACCCCTTAAGGACCAAACTTCTGGAATAAAAGGGAATCATGACATGTCACAAGGGGTTAAAGGACCACTATAGGCACCCAGACCACTTCAGCTCAATGAAGTGGTCTGGGTGCCAGGTCCCTCTAGTTTTAACCCTGCCTCTAGTGGCTGTCTCACTGACAGCTGCTAGAGGCGCTTTCGGTGAAAATCAAAGGGAGAAGATGCTGGGCGTCCATAGGAAAGCATTGAGTAATGTTTGAATGCGCGCATGGCTCTTGCCGCGCATGTGCATTCGGATCTGACGTCGGCAGGGTGTGGAGAATTCCCCAGCACAGAGGGAGCCCAGCGCTGAAGAAAGGTAAGTGGCTGAAGGGGTTTTAACCCCTTCAGCCCAGCGGGAGGGGGGCCCTGAGGGTGGGGGGACCTAATGACCCTATAGTGCCAAGAAAATTAGTTTGTTTTCCTGACACTATAGTGCTCCTTTAATGATTTTTAGAGGTGAGCACTATATTTTTACTTTTGTGATTATCTATGTAATTCATGACAACATCTGCTTAAAAATGCAAAAGTTCCTTCGTAGTGGCATACATACTTGCCTGAAGTCCTCACGCACCTGAGCCAACCTACTTGCCTAAAGTCCTCACGCAACTGAGCACCTTAATGAAGATTAGACCAGTTATCCTCAGGCGGGATTTATAATGACCAGGCGCAACAAAGTAGAGCTATTAGGGCTCCATACTCAATGAATGCACTTCTTACTCTGAATTAACCTATAAATATACTGTATTTTTCTCTTTTATATATTCATCTACCACGAAGACTACTTCTACCTTTGAAAATACACCAATGCGCTACCCCCTCTTTATACTGTATGCATTTTCTCTTACACCAGAATAGAGAGACTGTACGTGCTAGAAACCTATATAATGTATATGTGTGTTCAAATATGTACATACATACAGGGCTGGATTCTTCATAAAGCCACAGGATGGCATGGCCAGTGTAGAGATCAAACTTCTCCCTCACCAGCTAGCCCACTCTCCTCTTCTCGGTCCTACTTGATCTCCCTACCGGCACTGATATAGTGCATCAGAGCGTTACCACAGGTTACCGCATTGCGTTTTATAACAAGATTAAGTACTGCTGCTAAAAAAAATTGGTGCTGAATGGTAACACCGGAGGTAGAAGTAAAAAGGTAGAAGTAAAAAGCTGTTACACCTCAAGTGTGCACTTAATTTTCATTAATTCGATGAGCAGTCATTAGTGATTCCACTTATGCCATGGTTTCCACATTCCAAAAAGGTGGCTCTCGAGCGCTACATCTCCTGTCCCCAGCCGCATTCGGTTTATTCAATTCATTTAGAGGAAGCACAGTAGATTCCAATTCATAAAAATTAGTACCGTTAAAAGGGGCTCTGGACACTTACTGACACATTATTGGTGTCGGCATCTAACTCTCTCTGCTTATCTATTGCTAAATTACCGACATCAAGTTCATTTATGTCCAGCATTTCAGGAGTGCATATTGGAGACTCTTAACACTAATTTTGTGTACTCTGTACATACTTTATTTCTCTTTCTTTTTCCTTTATTATGTGTATGGGGGGAGATTGATAAGACCAGGCATTTTATTAAGGGGTGCCCTCGAAGGCACAAGACTTAGGAATCTTTATTCTATATGCCTTCCTCTGTCACTGTCTGTATATTTTCTACTACCTAGGCAACCTGTTCAAAACTGTTTGTAAACCCTCTCTTTATACTTTGACCTATTATTTAGATGCAGCTAGCATTTAGGCAACTTGTGTGATTTTTAACCAGTTAACTGCTGCCTGTCAGCAGTCCTTCACAGGTGAGCTACTACTTTGTGCTCCACTGTGGTCAAGCATAAGTTAACATCATTCAGTGCAGGCAGCTGTTGTAACACTAGAATATACTGCTAGGTATCTTGCAGGAAAAAAACAGAGCCAGGTCAGCAACCCCTTATTTTACACTTTACTGCTTGACAGCAAGCTTTAATTTATTATCAAAATGCTGCTATGATCTAGGCAGCTTTTGTGATATTTAACTGGCTAATCGCCGTCTGTCAGAAATCTGTCTTAGCTGAACTATTGACAGCACTGGTTTAGCAGTTGTCTTATCTCCCCCCCCCTTTTTGCTACAGCTATTAGTGATATATAATACAGTATCACTTCTATTACTTGGGAATACACTGATGTTATATTGTAGCTAAACAGTATTGCTTCAGCATTAGTGTTATTATGTATACACTTTTACAGCTTATATAAGTAGTCACAGAGTTTTACTCGCTGTATAGTCTCCATTTACTCCTGCTGTTCATATTATTTTTCTCTTTTTTATATTCTTATTTTAGATTTATTTATTAAAAGTTACTTTTTAATCTACAGTCTTCTCAGTAAATCATACACAGGTAGAATGGCATTTGTTTCTTTTTTTGTTTATTCCCTATGATATTCACCATTTAGGGGTTACCCCCCTTTTTTGTGCCCTCTACCTTGTGATATCTAAATTTTGGCCCTAGGTTAATTCTTTTTGTTTTTTTTTTACTAATAATTAGTACCGTTAAAGGTTTAACCCCTTTGGGTAAGAACTGCCATTGACCTCCTGGCACCACCACAGCTTCATTTAAATTAAGTCGCTATGGTGATCAGAGTGTTCCTAAAGACTGGGATTCTAGTATTGATACTTGTTCTTTTCTGGTGCAGGTCCATATATGGGCTTTTAACCCCTTAAGGACACATGATGGAAATATATGATTCGTCTGACATTTAGGCCAGATATGGCCTTGCCATCCTTTAGGTAATTAAGATAGACTAATGTACACAAATACAGTGAGGGAAAAAGGTATTTGATCCCCTGCTGATTTTGAATGTTTGCCCACTGACAAAGAAATGATCCGTCTATAATTTTAATGGTAGGTGTATTTTAACAGTGAGAGACAGAATAACAAAAAAAATCCAGAAAAATGCATGTCAAAAATGTCATCTTCACCAAATATTTTCCCAACCAATTCCACGCCCTCTCTGAAACTAAAGGCAAGGGCATATTGATTTTTGTTCACAGGGATGTACCCTTCTCCCTCCAACTATTAATTAACTAATCTCCAGGAGCTGCGCTGCCACTCCCCTCTTCCATTCCATAATGGAAAGAGGTAAGTGTGTTTGTGTGTGTGTGTGTGACTGTCTACCAGTGTGTGACTGTCTGCTAGTGTGTGTGTGTGACTGTCTGCAGGTGTGTGTCACTGTCTGACTGTGTATCACTGTTTTGTGTGTTACTGTCTGCATTGTGTCACTGCCTGCCTGTGTGTCACTGTTTGTGTGTCACTGTCTGCCTGTGTGTGACTGTACTGTGTGTTTCATGTCTGCCTGTGTGACTGTAACTGTGTGTGTGTGTGTGTGTGTGTGTGTGACTGTCTGCCTGTCACTGCATGTGAATATGTGACTGTCTGCCAGTAACTGTGTGTGTCTGAGTGACTGTATGCCTGTAAATGAGTGACTGTGTGTGTGTGTGTATGTGTGACTGTCTGCCTGTAACTGTGTGACTGTCTGCCTGTAACTGTGTGACTGTCTGCTTGCAGGGCCGGTGCAAGAATTTCTGCCGCCCTAGGCAAAATAAAAATTTGCCGCCCCCCATGTGACATCACAATGCCCCACCCATATGATCTGCCATATGAACTAACGCCAGTGCTGCACACAGTGTGTGTTTACATTAAAAAGCCTGCAGAGACAGGTTAAAGACACCAGAACCACTTCATTAAGCTGCAGTGGTTCTGGTGAGTATAGTGTCCCTTTAATGTGAGGTAAATTAGAGATTAGTGCCACTAATAATATACTAGATTGCCTACTTACAACCAGATGAGGATAGTGATGGGCTCTGGCTGCAGTCTGGCTCCACTGGTCTGGTGTAGAACAAGATCTCTGGAGCTGTTTGTAA